ATTGGGGTGTCGCAGGATTTGGGGTGCCACATGATTTTGGGGTGCCACAGGATTCTGGGTGTCTGGGATTGGGGTGTCCCAGGATTTGGGGTGCCACAGGATTTGGGGTGCCTGGGATTGGGGTGTCCCGGAATTTGGGGTGTCAGAGGATTTTGGGTGTCCCAGGATTGGGGGTGTCACAGGATTCGAGTGTCTGGAATTGGGGTGTCCCAGGTTTTGGGGTGTCCCGGGATTGGGGGTGCTATAGGATTCGGGTGTCTGGGATTGGGGGTGTCCCGGGACTGGGAATGTCCCGGATTTTGGGGTTCTCCAGGTTTTGGGGTGTCTGGGATTGGGGGTGTCCCAGGATTTGGGGTGTCACAGGATTTTGGAGTGTCCTGGGAATGGGGGTGTCTGGGGACTGGGGGTGTCCCGGGATTGGGGTGTCCCAGGATTTGGAGTTCTCCAGGTTTTAGGGTGTCCCAGGATTGGGCGTGCCAAAGGATTTGGGGTGTCTGGGATTGGGGCTGTCACAAGATTTGGGGTGTCCCGGATTTTGGGGTTCCACAGGATTTGGGGTGTCTGGGATTGGGGTGCCACAGAATTTGGGGCACCTGGGATTGGGGTGTCCCGGGATTTGGGGTGTCAGAGGATTTTGGGTGTCCCAGGATTGTGTGTGTCGCAGGATTCGAGTGTCTGGGGTTGGGGGTGTCCCAGGTTTTGGGGTTCTCCAGGTTTTGGGGTGTCTGGGATTGGGGGTGTCCCAGAATTTGGGGTGCCACAGGATTCGGGGTGTCTGGGATTGGGGGCGTCACAGGATTTGGAGTGTCCCGGCTTTTGGGGTTCCACAGAATATGGGGTGTCTGGAATTGGGGTGCCTGGGATTGGGGTGTCCCGGGATTGTGGGTGCCACAGGATTTGGCCTGTCTGGGATTGGGGATGTACTGGGTTTGGGATTTTCCAGGATTTGGGGTGTCAGAAGATTTTGGGGTGTCCCAGGATTGGGGGTACCTCAAGATTCGGGGTGTCTGGGATTGGGGATGTCCCAGGTTTTGGGGTGTCCCAGGATTGGGGGTACCTTAAGATTCGGGGTGTCTGGGATTGGGGGTGTCTCGGGACTGGGAATGTCCTGGATTTTGGGGTTCTCCAGGTTTTGGGGTGTCTGGGATTGGGGTGCCCCGGGTTTTGGGGTGCCCCGGGTTTCGGGGTGT